TTAACCAAGCTGATTAAACCAACATAGACACGACAACGGGAAAGTAAAAATTGATATCATTTTTTTACGTCAGTAAAAAAAATCAATTGAACACGTCATACAATGCTTTTTTGGATGACCTGTAAATAAACGCGATAAGATCAAAAAAAAAAATCGTACAGCAAACAGTTACGCGATTGGCAGAGAGTTAGAAAGATTTGTAATCGAAGAGACCAAAAAGGTTTTTTTTTTTCTTTCTAAAATATTTTACACAGCGAATTTCTGTTCGCCTGCATCACGGTCGATTACGAACATGTGATAATAATTTCGTACAGCAGTATTCACCGTGGAGGATTCGTATTATCAGCTGTTTGCATATTAATATTAAAAAAGCTTTCATACATCCAGAAAGCACCTAATGGTTACTTTATTGAATTATCAAGCCAATGCAAATAAGTCGTATCTAATATCTCTATATATAGAGATATACACGTGATGCAAAAATACTACCGACTCAAGACCGATAAACAAACTACTAGCGTCAGTCAGACAAATATCTTGTTATCAGTAGCTGCCACGAACGTCCAAACCTCGTAGACACGGAAAAGATCATTTATTTCAGCGATGTTTATCATGCCACGGTGTATATACAACAGCGGCCAGAAAGGAATGGAGTTGTTGGCCAACGATTTTTCTTCATATTTCCGCTAGAAGTATCCTGAGCTCATCCTTCATTCCTGTTCGGCATAGGTTCGGTTTTCTTAATTAAAAAGTCAGCAAGCGACGCGCATAGAATAATATCCTGTCAATTTGACGAAAGTCTTTATTGCAGGTAAAGGGGGTATGAAAAATTTTAAGGAAGAAAAAAAAAGCACGTGTACGATTCAATTTGTCGTATAATTTCGATCCTGCTCGAAACTGACTTTTACATATATATAGGGTGATTCATAATAAACGTACGACCTGAAGATGGCCTCTACCATAAGCACATGGTTAATCCCTTGGATTGGTAAAAAGAAAAATTTCAGCATTTACGAAATTTACACGTACGAACTCAATATTTAATACCGCATTTAACAGGCCGAACGAATGTATAATGGCGAATTAGCATTTTGCGTGTAAAATCGTAAACTGGGGTTGCATGAAAATTTATTAATAATGCATCGCCCGCGTTGCTCCTTATCTCGCGTTCTTTTCAAATAGCTACCAGCCAGACGCATAACTCCCGAAGGGACTTTACAGTCGGCCGGACGTTGGCTAATCGCGTACATGTGAACGCGGCAAGGAATTCGCTAGAAAAAAAAACCATCACAGTCCTTGGAGTCGGTCGTTCGAAATTTCTCGGTATTTCCACAAAAGCGGAAAAAAAAGCCATAACGTGAAACGATCGCTCGTACGAGCATGGGTAAGCAATGACGTCATTACTTTTTCCGGTAAGCCCAATGAAAACACGCCGTTGGTCAGGGACAGTCATCGGTTTCCGTAGAACGAGATGAAACCCTTTTTTTTTTTTTTTTTTTTTTCGAAAATTGAAATATCCCGTCCAATGAAAATTCAGGTTATATTCTCGTTGATCCCGCGAGCGACGTATTCCATAGCGCGTCGTTAGTAAAATCGCATGTAACGACACAGCCAAAACAGTTCCGGCTCGGCGATACGAAAGACCGCGTAATTATCCGGGATCGAGCGGAGCTCCGAGCGCTAATGAAATTGTCGATACCTGCGGTTTAACGCAGCTGTCGAAGGCTCCGCGTGATAAATGATAAATAACGCGACGGACTAAGCGAGGACTGAACGTAAAGCTCATACGCGCAGACGGGGTCCGACGGATGGCGGGAAATTTGAAATTAACAATCCATAACAAAAAAAAAATTAAAGCACTTGGTTAAAACGTGAAGGAAATTGATATATTAAAAAAAAAAAAAAATGACATCCCTCTTTCACTTAATCAAACCCACGTGTGATTAAACGGCTGTCTGATAAAGGAGATAAATAAAAATTTCGCTGATATTTAAAAAAAAAAAAAAAAAATCAACCCAATAAATTATAAAACTACTCAGTCATTCCAATTAAAATAAAGCTCCGTCGAGAGGCAATAAAAATCTTATCGAAAATCGTTAAAAAAACCTCTCACCTCCTCCACCACCTGATATACGTGAAAAGGTAATTTTTTTAATAATACACAAAGTCCACAGCTACGTAGGAGGTACGGAAGCGCCAAAGGTACTGAATCTGAACTCGGCAATAATTCAGAAAACGTGAACTGAGAGAAGGCTTCTCCTCGCCTACCGATTTTCATGTAAAACGAAACACGCCAGTGCGGACGCACGGCGTCGACGTCTCGAAGCCCGACTGTGCGTTTCAGGTAGATCTGGAGAATTGAATGCTAGGTGCTCGTGTAACCTGGCGGGTCTGCAGGTCGAATCGGAAAATGAATAATCAATCTCTATATGGATGCCAGTACCTATATGTATAGTCGGAGAAATACGTGTGTATTGTATATTCATCCCCTGCCTCACAGTATTCCACCCCTATGTATACTAGAGTCTACTACGGGTACGTAGCTAAACACTGACTGCGTCCATACAAACACGGAAGTGTGTCGAAGTCTTCGCGTCTGCAATGTGGTTCTATGGCATAAGGCATGTGGCAGTGTACACATGCTGTAGCGTGTAACACGTAGCATGCACGATGTAGCACGTAGCACGTAACACGTAGCGCATAACACGTGACGGCATAGGGGGACGTCCCGTATAAAAGCTCCGTCCGTAGAGCTTAGAAGATTTCGCCTTGCTTTTTTCAGTTCTTTCGGGGGAAATGCCGTCGCGTGCTAACGCATTGTTAGAAGGGACTGATTAATTTTTGCATTCTGCTTGGGAAGAAATTACAAAAAAAAAAAAAAAAACAGTTAAAGAAAGAGAAAAAAAAGGTCCAAGAGACCACGCGACAAATACATATTGTTTTTCTAGCGAATGCCTATAGATGGTGATGCCCTGATTGGTTTTTGCCTAGTGTGCTTTGGGTCGTGCCACAGTTACGCTGTAGAGACTGTATAACGATACCGTGGATGATTTAATTACGAGATAATGATTTGTTATGGACAAGGAGCGGGGGGAGAGTATTTTTGAAAATTTTTGAAAATTTCTTGGTTGTTCGATGATCAGATGTATTATTTAATAATTAAATTTATATTAATAAAAAAATTATTCTCGCCTGATATCATTGACTCCTGAGAGTCCATTCACGATTGTGCCATTTTATGCGGATCGTCGCGAGAGACGAATAAAATTATCTCGTATTTTTCTCAATCAACCCCTCGACCACCCTTCTGCGCCTTTATACGCCTAAGATAAATCGTCGTCGTTTCAGATTAAATGAGTTCGTCGTTCCCAGCGGGAATGAGAAATTAAACTGAATGTACCGTCGCCGGTCGCGTATTGTGGATTCAACACATTATTTACAACGAGGTTACATTCGACGGGATATCTTCATGAAATGTTCAAAGATTTACCTACCACTCGCATTAATTAAACCAAAAATGGAAGATCGCTGATTGCTCGCTCTTGATGACACGTCAACCTATGTTCAAGAGATACGATAAAATTCATATAACAGGCTTATCTGATATAAGCGTTCGATCTAAAGATAACGAAGATCGGTTCTCTACCGAAAATCCTATAGAAAAAAAATTGCTGACCTTGAATAAGAAAATTGATAAAAAAAATTTCCTGAACGTAAGAGAAAACAGATCGTCCCTAGAAATTCTTATTGGAAACGCACCCTTATCGCTCGCCGGATACCGCTATTTGTTTTGCACTATGGGAAAGAAGCCTTTTGCTTTATGAATTTTGCGAATAAGTAGAGGGTCTAAGAGCACCAATTCGGGGGGATGGTTTATCAACCTTTGACCCACGAAAAATGGCCCGAGGCACGGTGTAACGCCGCGGTGACGTTGTGGAATTCATCAAGGTCGACGGTCGACCTGATTGGTTGGCATGTAGCTGAAACTGAAGGAGGAACTATATGCAATCGATATACCGCAAAAAGAAGAAAAATTTCCTTTCCAGATATTTGCCTGTAGCAAATTTAATACGACAAAAGCTGAGATTTTTCTAAAATTATATAATGAATATTTTATGCAGGTGCTAGCGGCAGTATATATACGTATACGAAAGAGCGACAACTAGAGTCGATGAAAATAATTATGACGCAATATAAAAATTGTTAGTTCCCTAGAAAGAATCCGTATCAAGAATCAACGTTCGAGCTGCGAGTTAAGCATTATTTCTTTTTTGTCGATCTTTTTCTTTTTCTCACTTCTTTTCCAGGGCTTCGAGTTCTCCTTAAGATATTCCAGGGCTGTTCGCAGCTTTTCTCGCTCGAAACTTTTTCTCTGGAATCGACGTATACTCTCGTAAAATTAATTATTTCTTATTTCTGTTTATTCTTCTCTTGATTATTTTTTACGACTTTTGCCATACACGTTTAATACGCGCGTGCATATTCATCTTGAAGGTACCAATTGAAGTTTTCTCGTAAATTGAATTTCCAATTCGCAGCCAACTTCACTTGGACCGCTTCACCTGAATATATATAATGAATCCTGTGTAGAGTGTTTTAATATTATATATATAAAGTTATTCAGGCTAAACGCAACGCCTGAAGCATGACCATTTGATTAGTACGGTGAAACTACCTGTAGGTGGTCCATCCGTACTGAATCGTCCTGTACATACTATACGTAGGACAAGCGACGTTTTCAGCTGGCAATAAAAAACAAAATTCTCCAAGTCCGAATACAGAGAAGAAACTGTAATAACGATTGCGCTCTGAATATTTCAAGAGATAAATTAATCATATGAAGCAGCCACGTAGTGTGGCATATAGGCTATCCTGTAAAATTTTTAGATAAATCTTTCGACTCCAAAAGGCCAAGTTACACGATACCGACGTTAATAAACGGCAGTATACAGATAACACGAGACAAGCAAATTTAACGTGCCAATAACAGTTCGAAATACCTTTACGCAGCTTCGAATGATCTGGACCGCAACGGGAAGCTGTAACAGAAAATTGTCCACCGTGAGTCCTCATTATCCTCTTCATCGCTCATACAATTTAAATTCACGAGAAACGACGGGGAAATTCACGAGGCCGTAAAATGACCAGCATCGGGCGTCGCGACGACTCCGAACAGTCAATTTACAACAACGTGAATCGAATGAAATTGCCCGTAGTAGTATCTACTGTGACGCAAATTTTATAATATAACTTATTCGCCAGTGCTATAAAACTGAGACTAAAGCGGAATCTAACCCCAAAGTCTACTCGCCGAGAGGCAGCTATCCCGACGCGTTTTACGCCACAAATTTAATGCTCTATTCCCACCGGGACGCGATACCGAAATTTACCGACTGGGCGCCAGACAGTTGCGTCACGTAACGAGACTACGAAAATCCCCGAAAAGAATAGAGGAAGGCAACCGAACTAACTCAGATGAGGGAATGACAGAGGGGCAGGGAACGCCAAGGTGTTGGTGAGGTAGCCAGGAAGAAGAGTGAGCACCAGATATAGAAAACAACAACAACTGCCCTTTTATTCAGGACAAATTTAGAATGCGATAGTTAACAAATATGAAATTCCGAAACAAGTGAAATAATAATCTTAACAAGGTTCAATTAACGAAATACGAAATATAGAATACAACATGCCAAATACGAAATACAAAATGCAAAACGATACGTGAACTCTCGAGAAGCGAGACGAACACGTTACAATACACGCGACGATACACGAGTTCCCGAGAAGCGAGAACACGCGGATTCTCTCTGTTAGGTCTCCAGGGTCACGAGACTTTGCGCTATGGAAAATTACAATAAGCCAGAAATATTAAATGATTCAGAAATAAATTCGATACACGGAATCTTTTCCAGGCTAGTGGTACGATACTCAACCCTAGGCCGATGCCTTGGGAAAAGGAATGATACGCGAGAAAAGCTAAGATATTAGCCGATTGGAAAAGCTTCCGTGATTCGTTACAGGATTCTTACCGATAATTAGCGAAACTACTCGACGACCGACCACGATAGTAACTCAGCAGAGAATGAATGTTCAGCAAATTTCACGGTAGGGCAGGACCTGTGTCCCCACTAACTATCGAATGTAGTGCCCTCAAATAGCCAATTAGATCCTCAG